CCGGTGAACTTACCAATACGTATCTCAACTCAGACTCATTCCAGAGGCGGCTTCGAAACTAAACAATACGTTTGCGAATGCTGTTGTTTTGCGTGAAATACAATAATATCAAAGAAGAAACTACCCTCAGTATTAGAAATGGTTATTAGTTATTAACATTGCCTGTACTTTATACAGCGACATTGGGTATTGTGTCTATGGGAGATAACAATTCAAGCTGATTGAGGGCAGCATTTTCCAGGGAATAAGGTTTTTAGGCTCAACAACCAAATCACGCGCTTAACTTGAGAATTGTTTTTTCAACGTATGATAAGGACTAAACTTGTCCGTAACGTAAGGGGCAAAGGGTTCGGTTTCGCCAAAATAATCGCGACGAGCAGTAATTTTAATCGTTTAGTCTACATTATTCCTGAAAGTTGTTTACATTATACGTACAGTATATTCAGGCTTTAGAGTTTGTGACAAATTTCAATTTTACGACATCTACATTAAGCATGATTATTGTTTTCTGAATTGTGTGTACTTGGTTGCATTATTCCTTAGAGAAGCGTATGTCTGGAGCATGTGCAGTGTGCCCAATTGATCTACGCATACTTTTCATTCTATTTTACAGTTCATAGTCAGTGATTTACCGCCATCATCTTTAGTGATGTCGCCACCACCAAATTAGTAATGTTACAGCGCCCTCCACACGTTTTGATGAAGGATATGTGATACTGCCCCCTATGGTGATATGATAATAAACGTGACCTTACTTAGAAAATACACGCGTTGAATGATGCTGTCATTTGTATAAAAAGATACCTGCCCTCATTCGAAGCATATTTCGAGAGTTGAGCGAGTATGTTTGTCTGTTAAAATGATAAATGTTCGACTACTTAGGAGTAGTGAATCATTTATTTTGTCGGCAAATTGGTACATTTGCATAACTGTAACTGGATTTGCATGCACACAGATCATAGTAGATAGTAGTTAGTCTTTCGTTAATATTATTTTTATTATTTAAAAAAAAGTTATGATATATATATTTGGTAATGTAAAAAGCACTTGTATTGAGATTGGATCTCAAATAAATAGGAGTCTGCGAAGTTTACAGGACATCCGATCTATCATCGATCATAACACCACAACTAAAATGCTAGCATGGTGAACTATGCATACGGATACATGTAGCACGATACAGAGAATATTCATATCATAGAAGACGAAAAAATAAACATATAAAGCAGCTACCGCGTTAGCAGTGTGTATGGATATGCGGGGGGGGGGGTTAGAAGTTACTGTACGTATTCGAAAGAACGAATGTGCCCGCTAAACCATCAGTAGTCCCCAAAGTAGATGAATTCATCACTCGTGAATTATTATAGTAATTATGTTAATGGCATTCCGTTGAAGCATGACTGGATTTACATCCACTAATAATCGTTAACACGACAACAAAAATATATGATATCCCACATCAACCAAATGCAAAATGAAGACATATTTTAATACTAAAAAATAGAATGGAGGGCAGCGCCGCCGCCACCATTAAAAATTATACATGCTGCATGGCTATACTTGCGTAAAATATATTTCCATGATTTCCGCTAGGATATACTTGTAATTTTTGTGGAATGATGTTTCGGATCATTCGCTAATTACACGTATTATGGGCGCATCGATGGTGGAAACTTGAATGTGTAGATCTTCAGTGAGTTTCATAGTACAAGGAGACTGACTGTTGCCATCCGGTTTGAAATGTTCAGTATCGCTGTATTACAAACGGTGCTATAGCCCAAATCATGACGTCAAGCGTGATTTTTTACCGTATCATATTATCAGTAATATTTTGCACACCAGAACTGTGATTGGTAGTTTGATGTCAGCAGACACGCGTGATTACCGCCACAGTTTTGTATCAATCCGAGCCGCAGTTCTGACAGTGGAACTATTGCTGAAATAACACCGCTATTGCTGACATGCAAATATATCATTGCGCGTCATATGCTAATTTTGCTGAGACCACAGTGTTCTATTTCAGCTCATTCCGCTCATTCGTGACATTTGATTAAATTTGTTAAACCTATATTTTCGAGAGACTGAATACATATTCAGAAAATACACGCGCGAGCTTGCCAAAATGAACCATTGTTACCCGTAATTATGTGACCGTATATAACCCCGCAACGTTCAGACAACGCGTACAATTAAAAAAGAGAGTTCGGCAGCATGCGACGTAATACTTTGGTGATATGAATTGTTGATCTGCCCCGTCTTACGTCACACTGTGATGATGCGCATTATGCACGTGATAACGTGTTGTATCACGTCAATCTGGGAATCTGGCAATGTGTAAAAGGACAGTGAAATGCACACGATTTGCAAGAAAATAATAATAAATAAATAAACAAATCGAAATTTTAACTGAAAATATACGCTTTACTTCATTTCTCCATGCAAACATACAGAGCTACGGATTCAATTTATGTAAGGCCTAGTCAGAACTGTTGATCGCAGGCAACGTTTTCTTTTCAAATGATGGCCTACTTATCCGACAGACAGTGTTGTAATCTATGAACAGTATTTTTTATACCTTAATTTTTCAACATGGGTATAATAAAAAGCACTGTTTTTTTTCTGTTTTTCCGTATCCTGTTAATCGGTTTCTTCTCTACCGGTTGTCTCATTAGTCCCATCTGTCACGCTGACAATAAACAAGCTTCACATCTCCGTTTCATCATTACTATCCTTTTTGTGAAAAGTGATCCATCATGCCACAGTACGTCGAAAGCATTTAACCGTATCATTCTCACTTAAGCTGTTAATA